GCAGGGTCTGCAGACTTAGGACTGGCTAGTTTGAATGCTTTCAGTGGGCTCCGAGCACAGGAGCTGGCCCTGGTTCCCTGGTTCCTGGCCCTGGGGTGATCAAAGTGGGAGAACAGTGGCCCATAGAAGATTGTTGGCTTGTATTTGAAAAGTATACTTGCTTTTGTTTACCATCCTTAGGAATTATCCTGAGAGGGGCAGTCCTTCTAGGGCTGGCAAGGCCCCAGATTTCAAAACATCCAAATATAAATGACACAGTTCATATGGGTGCTCCTGGGCCAGGAAACAGAACCAAAAGAGGACCCATGTGGCCCGAGGGTGTCTGGAGACCCCTGCATGAGCAAAGAGGACCTTGGAAGCAAAGGGTGCCCTCTGAGGGGAACTAGACAGGCAGGGGCATAATTACATTTTAATTTTCCGAAACCCACTCTGGCTGAGAGGGAAAGTGTGGATGTGGGCAATGAACTGGGCCAAGAGAAGTGGCAGCCGTTGAAATGAGAGACGGTAGGTATGAGGGGGCCGGATAGTGAGGATTGAGAGTGGAAAGGGGCCAGGGCTGCTTGGTACCCACATTGCCTTAGGAGGGATGGGCCAGCAGGGTTGAGGAGGTCAGAGGTGTGAGGATGGTGCAAGGATTCTGGCTTAAAAGGGAGGATGGCTATGTGTCCTTCACCTGGATGGCTGAGCAGTGCTTGAAGTGCAGGCCAAAGGAGGAGAGCAGGAGGGCCTCAACATGGAGATGCTCTTTTGGGAATTGCCATGGGATCCAGAAAAGAGGTCTGGACTGGAGATCCCAAGTTGTGGCTGTTGGCACAGTCAGACCAGCCATGTAGCAAACCACCCACAGATCTAAGATGCTTGTAACAGTGATGCCGAAAACTTGGCCTCTGTGCATCAGCGCTGAATTGAATCTCAGAGACAGAGTTTGGGATAAAGCAGAAAAGAAGACCTTTATTGCTTTGCCAGGTAAAAGCAGACACAGTGGACTTGTACCCTCAAAAACTATATCCCAACCCTGGGAGGATTTGGTGAGGAGTTTTATAGAAATGGTTCAAGGTCAGAGGTGCTAATAAGGATCACGGTGTGTGCAGGGCCTGCACTTCTTTCATCTGGAGACCTCATGTGCTCTCCTGATAAGCTTCCACGGTTCTTGAGGCTCTCAAACTGTGGCCTTCTCTCTGGAATGGAGAACGCTAACATCTTCCTTTTGTCAGGGGTTTTAGCTTTGTAAGAGAGCTCAAAGTTATTGTTACGAGTGTTCTTCGAGGGGGAGCCAGGACCCAGTCCCCAGGTTGCACTCTCTCTTCTCGGCTGTTCTTCCCGTGTCCCGTGTCCCTTCCTTGATTAGTAACTGTCCTAATGTGCCCTTTGCAGCTCAGGGACTGTGATGGAGTCTGGGGTCTGTTCCTTATACATAAGAAACTGGGATACAGAAAGGCTTCCATGCCCAGGGCCCCACAGGGGCCTTTTCAATAGCAAAGGCTTCTTTCTCACTCATGCTATAGACCCTTGAAGGTTACCTGAGATCCTGGGTGAGCATCTCAGAAGGGCCCTGATTTCCTTCCCCAGTGAACAGTGACCCAAAGGCTACAGAACTGAGTTGGGGCCCCCATCTTTATCCCAGGCCCCCCAAGGCTTGGTGCTTGTGTAAAGTTGGTGCAGGTACCACTGGGGCCAGTTCTCTAAAACTGACCTCCACCATGTATAGTTGGTTGTAAGATTATGGGGCCCCCAGGATGGAGAGAAGCCTGGGGCCCAGCAGACCCACCTGCAGCCTCCACGGGTGTCCAGAGCAGGACCGCCTGACAGTCTCTGCAGCCAGTGAACTCCTACCATTTGGGGTCTTTCTCCTTCCTCCGCCCCAGACGCGCATTCCAAGAGGGGGTGTCCAGTTGGCAACAGACAGTCACGTGGCTGCCCGAGGTTGAGTCCACTGGGGGTGGGGGGGGTAGGTGTTCCCCAAAGAAAATTGCAGGCCTGGTGATTAGAACAGGGATTCTGAGAAGCTGAAATAGCAAGGGTCCACTGTCACTTTCTACTGGGTTGCTTGGCAGGGGTGGGGGTGGGTGTTTTTGCTTTTTAATTAAGATATAATAGCATACGTTACCTAGGAGATCAAACCAGCCAATCCTAAAGGAAATCAATCCTGAATATCCATTGGAAGGACTGATGCTGAAGCTGAAGCTCCAATACATTGGCCACCTGATGGGAAGAGCCAATTCATTGGAAACGACCTTGATGCTTGGAAAGATTGAGAGCAGGAGGAGAAAAGGGCAACAGAGGAAGAGATGGTTGGATGGCATCATTGATTTAATGGACATGAGTCTGAGCAAACTCAGGAGATAGTGAAGGACTGCATGCTACAGTCCGTGGGATCACAAAGAGTTGGACACAACTTAATGACTGAAGAACAGCTTACATTAGCATGCATACTGTGAAGTACACAGTATTTTTCATACGATTACACCCAAGTAGTCAGAAAGTTCCCCATCACGTGCCTTCCCAGTTCAGACATCCCCCTCAAAGATGCCCACTCTTCCCACCTCCATCATCACATCCTGGTTATCTGTTCTTGATTTGTAGAGATAGAATCAGAACAGCGGGTGTGTGTGTCTGGGCTGTGGCCCATGGTGATGGCTGTGAGATTCCCTCCTGTTGCTCTGGGTAACAATAGTTTGTTCTTTTTGACTGCTTGGTAGTATTTCATCATGTGCATGGTATCACTCATTCTCCTAATGATGGGCATTTGTGGTGTTGGTGCCATATTTGTTGTCACACTGAAGTGGATTATTTTGGAAGCAAGATGCATGCAGAGGCGTGTGTGTGTGTGTGTGTGCGCGAGCGCGTGTTGGGGGTGGCTTTTTATTCATTACCATGAAGTTGTCTGTGACCCCAGCTTCAATTTTCCAGCCTGGAGGCAGAGCCTCAACCCCACTGCACCCCCAGCCTGTCACCTTGCAGCTGTGGGCGCTGAAATGCCCCAGGCAATGAATGAGGCAAGCCCAGCCTCGTCCTGGACGCTCCGCTTGGTGCTCCCTGCAGCTCTCTGGACAGTCGCCCCTTGGACAGCCCTGCTCTTGGTCACACAGTGGATAAGCTGGGGCCTCCTGTGGGCACAGGGATGAAGTCAATCTCCCGAGGGCCAGATGACATCTGTACCTGGCACAGTGCTGGCGTGTGAATGGAGCTCCAGAGATACAAGTGGAATGGGTGGAACTGAGTTGAGCTGACACAGAGATGCTGCCCCAGGCTGGAAGATGAGAGAGTGACTCCTGAGCTCCCAGAGTCCTGGATCTGCCTGGGCCTGAGGCCAGGTTCCACTCTGGCAAGGACAGGGCAGACTCTGTATCAGTGTTTGCTACAGTCGGGAGGTTGGGAGAAGGTCCTCGTACCCTGGACTGGCAGGGGAAACAGGGAGACCACGTCTCCAGACCCTGAGCTGGCATCTCAGCCCAGCTGGCCGCCCTCACCCCGCTGGTGAGAGCCACAGCGCCCTTGCTCTCGCAGGAGAGTCCAGAGTCAGGTGCCCTCCCACTCCAGTTGAGACTGTTGCAGATTTCCAGCACTCCTGGGGCTTCAAGCGAGGGCGGGTCAAGGGGGATGTGTAGACTCAGCAGCCGGGAACTGAGGGGTTGACAGGGTGAAAATAGAGACACTGAACTCTGAGCACCTGTCCTCCAACCAGAGAATTTAGGGCTTTGCAGTTAGGGGAGGGCGTTGAGATTTGCAACCGGCTAAGCCCAGGTGTGCACCCCAACTCTGCTATTTGTTTGCTGCGCAACCTGGAGCAAGTCTCTTCACCTCTCTGAACTTCAGTTTTCTTATCACGAAATGGAACTAGTCCTATACTTCTAAAGGCTATAAGGAATATTAAGTCAGAGAAGATCTAGGGAAAGAGAAGAGGCTCCCTCTCTGGTCCTTCTTGCCTTCAGATCTCTGTCCATTGGAAAGGACTGGACAAGGTGGGAACTCAGGAGAAGCCTCAAGCTGATCAGCAAGTAAGGCTGGTGGGAAGGATTCTGGGAGTTTGCTGGGAGGGTTCTCCCCTCTTCTGGTCTCTCCTAAAATATGACTTCCAATATCCAATATATAGGATGGATAAGCAACAAGGTCCTACTGTATAGTACATGGAGTATCATTGATGGAAAGGAATATGAAAAAGAATGTATGTATGTGTATTAACTGAATTACTCAGTTGTGCAGCAGAAACTAACACAGCATTGTGAATCAATTATGCTTTGATAAATTAAAAACAAAAAACACTTGGTGTCCAGGATCAGCTTCTAGGATCTATTTGCTAAGAAGAGCCCCCATCCTCCAACCAAAGGGCAGAGATGAGAAGCTATGAAATAGAAAAACTAAGAAGAAAATCAAGTTCACTTCCTGGGACTAGGGCAGTGATCATGAATAAATGCGTGAGTAAATGGAGAAATTGAATAAGAGTGAAGTCGCTCAGTCATGTCCGACTCTTTGCGACCCCATGGACTGCAGCCTACCAGGCTCCTCCATCCATGGGATTTTCCAGGCAAGAGTACTGGAGTGGGGTGCCATTACCTTCTCCAGGTAACACATAAAATAATGTGTGCATGTGCTGGGTTTGCATTTCACTTGAGTCTCACAGAAGGTGCTATGAAATAGGTACAATTATCATTCTTGTGTACACTCGCAGAAATTGAGGACACAGAAGTGCAGTGATCTGCACAAGGGCATCCAACCTGTAAGTGCGGGGCCCGGGGACTGCAAACACAGACTGCCCCTCAAAGAACACGGATTGAATAGACAGATGAGTGGATGGATAGATGGATGTAGAATGAAAAAAATATTAAACAGGTGAATGTGTTGGTATAGGTGGCTGCAGAAATGAGCTGATGCCTGAAGCTATTAATAATAGCTCATTTTCCCCCTGGTGTCTGCCAGGAGGGCAGGAATCAGGAATTTGAATGATGTTGACAGGTAACTAGAAACCCATCCCCAATCTCACCTCACCCCCTGCCCTTTAGGCCTCCTGCTGCTGCCCGAAATTCCACAGTTCCCAGTTCATTTCTTCAGGGTAAGCACTGCCCTCATCCAACCCACTTTTAAATCTCAGATCCCGTGGGAAGAGCCTCCCTGGCATCTGAATAGCCTGTGGGAGTAACTGCATCAGATGACCACCACCTCTTCCCCCCACAGGGGGAAGGTAGCGATGGGAAGGGGGTGTCAGGGGAAGCCCCTTGAGCTGGGAGGATGTGGGTGTCTCCCCTCCCCAGCTCTGCCATCTCAAGGCCAGCCTCATCCTTCCAGTGGAGATTGGGGAATGGAAACAGCCAGCCTTGCTGGGAACCAACTGGCTTGCAGCCCCTCCCTCTGCTCTCAGCTTTTCTGCTGCCAGAAGCCGGGTGTCACACTGTGTTATCACGGCAGGAGTCACATGGAAACTCACCCCTGCTTGGCATCCACTTCGGGCAAGAATGCTTTCCCACCCTGCCTCGTGGGAAAGTTCTCCAGGCCAGCCCCGAGAACGGCTTCCCGTCTCCCTGAAGGGCACCCTTGAGTCCCTGAGGCTCAGTTTCCCCATCTATCAAATAAGGAGCATAACCTGCCCCATCTATCTCTCTCAAGTAATTGGTATTTGTTTTTAATGGGGGGGGGGAACACCTCACTTAAATTGGTGGTCGTTGTTCTAGTCACTCTTATATTTAAGTAAAATGAGCTTACTTTTCATAAAACCTTAGGAAGAGGTCACATTTTCCTTCTCCTGTTTTTTAGGTGAGGCGTCATGGGAACAAAAGTACCAGAGCCTTGACGTGGGGAGGACAGACCTCTTTCTGGACACTGACAGCCTGCCCAGCCCTTCTCGAAGTCCTCCTGCAGGGCCAGCTGAGTCTCCTTCATCCTTGCTCTCTCCTCCTGCCCTTCCTGCCTAGCAGCACCAACGTCTGCTTCTCCCTGACCCCTGGATATTCCATGGACCTCTGAAAACACTCTCCACTTCCCACCCCCATATCCCTGCCCAGTGGCGGCTACCCTGTCCCTCACTCCCCGCCCCCCAGCCTCCAAGGAGAAGTCAGCACATCCTCACCTTCTTCTGTGGTCACCATCACCCCTCGAAGATGATGTGGATGTGGTGCAGTGCTCAGGAAAGTGTAGATCCAGATGCGGCTAAGGACCCGGAACAGGGCTAGGAGTGACTGATCCTGCGAGAGCACGATGCTGTATCTGCACCCTGGGAGCCAGAGGCTTCTGGCGTGGCCAGAAATGTCCAGAGCTGCCCCACAGTGGGAAGCTGTGAAGAGGGGCCCCAGCATTAGCCCCAGAAGCTCAAAGGGGCATACTTTCCCTCTAAATGAGAAGAAACACCAAGTTTCAGTTAATCATCCCGGAGTTCAGTGTCAAAGGAGACTGGATGTGATTTGGCGTTTTTATTTAAGTATTGCTTTGCGCTGTATCCCTTTCTCGTTGCTGTGTCTCAGGGTGATTACTAATAAGTTGTGCTATTATTTTAATATGGTGTGAAATAATTTTGTGTCATTGTTCTAACAGTGTGTTTTGTGAACCTTGTTAAAAGTTTGATGTTTCTGTTGATGACATTTGGGGAACATAGAACCCTAGGCCTCTGCATTCAGACTCAGGAACCACCTTTCCTGGGTGCAAGCCAATGCTGAGCAGGAAACCCCACGACTAAAACTCCAGGCTTATAAATGCAGATCAGTGCAGAGCGGCAGGAAGTAAAAGAAGCTAAAACAGGCACCCGGGGGCCTGGGAGTAGGGCAAGGAAGGAGGGACAGAGGAAGCCCCCGGGGAAATGCCAAGAGGGACAGGGCCTGGAGGGACTTTCATGGGCAGGTAGGGTGCTCAGGGCCCACTTGGAGCGATACAGACTGGGACCTGGGACCTGGGACCCTTTGCTTCAGGGCTTGTACCTGAACACAAGTCTCTCCCAGCAACAAATTACGAAGAAACTGTGATGGACTATAAGTAGCTGTGTGCACGTGCCCAGTTCGGGCAAATAATGGACAAAAAAGACACAAAAAGACCACACAAGCAAACAAACCCAACTGCTACTCTGAGGAGCCTGAAGCAAAAACAGGGGTCAGGAATGAAAAGCAGCTTACTGCCATGAGCATGCCCCTGCATTCAGCATCAACCAAAGGGATGGGCAAGCCCCCTAGGCCACTCCTTTGGCCCGACCGACCGTTGGACACACTCCTATCCTCACCCCATATGAGGAACCAGCGCACCCTCCCTCAGCGAGCAAGCAAGGGAACCTGTCATTTGTTCTCACTCCCCCCTGGTAGGAGGGGCCCCAGTAAAGCCTTGCCTGAGTCTCTCGCCTGGCCTCTGATCAATTAGAGACTGACTGATTAACGAAGGCCAGGAACCCTGGTTGGTAGCAGGAGGAGAGGCGTCCCCATGTGCTGGGGACATAGGAAGGAAGATGTGAGGGTCAGACGGGCTTGGTGGAGGGACAGACAGAATCCAGCCAGGCCAGAGCTCAGGCAATTGAGGTGTAAGCACAGGGTATGCCTGGCTTGTTGAGACGCGCAAGGCACAAGCCATAAAGGAAAAGAACGACCCATTTAACTACATTACAATGAAAAGGTTGTCTATCAAAAAAATGACGTTTTTAAAAGCGAGCAGATAAGCCACAGAGAGATATGTACGCCTATGTCTGCCGAATGATTGGTATCTAAGCACTCTTAAGAATGCTTATAAGGCCTTCCCTGGTAGTCCAATGGTTAAGACTCTGTGCTTCCAGTACAGGGGACATGGGTTCGACCCCTGGTCAGGGAAGTTCCACGTGCTGGGTGGTACAGCCCCAAAAAAGAATGCCTACAAATACTTTGGAGGAAAACAGACTACCCAACCAAAAGAGCATGCAAGTGACTGCAACAGGCATTTTGGAGAAAAGAAAACCTGAGTGGCTGATAAATGTATGAAGAGGTATTCAGTGTCGTTACTAATCATGCTATCCTATGATTGCAGTTAATGAAATCAAGTGAAACCATAGTACGGTACCATGTCTCAAAAAATAAGAAGTCTGACCCTAGGAAGTCTTGACGAGCATGCAGAGAACCAGGAACTCCCACGCCAGGCTGTGCCCTCTCCTGGGAGGGTAGCTTGGCAAAGCCCAGTGCGGTTCGTTGAAGGCACTCGGACCCCCAGCACGTAGCTCTGCCCCTAAACAGCTGAGAATCGCTTGCCACGCCTCTTATGCACGGGTAGGTTCATCCCCTGAAGTCTTGGTGGCTCCGGGGCCACGGCAGTCGATGAGTTCACGGAGGTGAGGCTAGGTGATACAAGAGGCCACACGGCTTCTGCCCTTCCGGCAGGACACTCATTCCTGGAAATCTGAGCTACTAGGTAAGTACTCTGAAGACCCTAGGACCTCCACGCTGGAGAGACCAGAGAGATGCTCCGTCGTCCGGCCGCCCCCGCCAAACCACCATCCAGGCCGACACAGAGGGTTCCCGTGGGTGACCCCATCAGTGCACGGGCAACAGAAGTCCCTCCCACAGCCCTGCCCCGAATTCCTGACACACCGCCTCTGATGAAACGGTTGTTAGTGTAAAGTCACTACATCTGGGGGTTTGTTTTGCAGCCACAGATAACTGGAACCACATCCAACGGAAATCTGTGCACGTGTGCACCAAAAGATATGCACGAGGCTGTTTATTCTACCACAGTTTGCCAAAAGCAAACCATTGGAAACAACCCAAATCCTCGTAAGGAGAAAGTAGATTTTCCAAGTCACAGTCTAGACGTCCAATGGCACGACGGCACTTCAGCAGTGAGGAAGAACGCAGAGAGCTACGTGCGTCAACGCGGACCGTCTCAAAACAACGTTGGGCACAAAAGCATGTTGCAGAAGGATGTGGACAGCTTGGTAGCATTTATATAAAGCTCGAAGTTATGCAAAACAGTACAATATTTTGTTGACGGATACTTATCTCTATAGCAAAATACGACCACATGCAAGGGAATGAAAAGCAACAAATTCATTATGGTGGCGATGGGAGGGGGAGGGGCCCACTGGGAGCTTCCAGACTCCCTGTTGTTTTATTTCTTTAAAGAAAATTTGAAATAAATAAAAAAATATGTTCGCCTGTGACAAAGCTTAGAAGTGGATCCTCCAGGGAGATGTTGGGGATCTGTAAGAACCGCTAGGATCCTGGCACCCAGCTCTGCACACCCCACCCCTGGGTTGGGCCACGTTAACCCTTTAATTGCTGGTGGCAGAGATGTCTTGGGAGGCGGGTGGAAGGAGAACTCGGAGAACAGCTCATTTCCCAACCTGTCTGAATATATTTTAACAACGGGGCCAGCTCAGCTGAATACAAGCCTGGGGTCCATGAGTGTTAATTATATTCATGACAACTGCTGACTTTCCTGCCTGTTCAGAATGCTTCACACTTAAGGCTTCCCTCGTGGCTCCGTGGTAAAGAGTCGGCCTGCAATGCGGGAAACCCGGGCTTGATCCCGGGTCAAGAAGATCCCCTGGAGAAGAGAATGGCTACCAACTCCAGCATTCTTGCCTGGAGAACTCCATGGACAGGGGAGCGTGGTCATCTATAGTCCATGGGATCGCAAAGAGTCGGACATGACTGAGTGACTCACACAACGGCAGCGTACCTCTGATTAAAGGATAGAGGCAGGAAGAGTGCTGACTATTACGGGAGCGGCGGAGAGGAGAGGCAGAGCCCCTGGCCTTGGTAGAAGCGAGAATGTGACCAGAAGTAACCACCCTCCTTCGTAACCTCCCATCTCCCACCTCTGGCCTCTTGCAGCCACACTCCTGCACCGGACTTCACTTTCTCATTCATTTCTCAAACGCCAAGTCCCTCCTGAGTGCCCAGCCCTGGGAACACAGGAAGGGACGGAAGAACGTCCCTGATCTCAATCGCCTACGGCGCAGTCAGGGGACACACCTGTGGGCAGACACCTGGTCAAAGGGACAAAGAGTCCACAGGGCGATTGGTGAAGACAGGGCAGAGGCCGAATAGAGCACAAAGGGGCGTCCGCAGAAGGCCTCCCCGGGACACCCACCATCTCAAAGAGGAGGGGCCGGCAGAGCCAGCCCCCTGTGAGCTAGCCGGCCGGCTGTGGACTCTGGTTGGCATTGGCCGGAGACTTTCAGGTGAATTCCTCCTGCTCTTGAGTGCCTAGCAGGGGGAGGGGGAGCTGGATGGCTTCAAGGGGACCGGATGCAGCCTGTGGCCCTGCTTTGAGGCAAGCGGGGAGGCCCTTCAGGGAGGGCACTGCTCCGAGCTGACACCGTGGTACAAGGTGCCCACCGCCTGCGGAGCTGTACCTGGCAGGGCAGAGGCCGGGAGGCAGGAGTTCAGAGCTGCGTAGCTCAGAGCTGTGGCCAACAAATGATCCTGATGTCAAGGCCCAGAGGTCTGGAAGGGCCTTGGGGGTCATCCAGAGCATCTCCCCTCAGCCCTGCAGTCAGGTCTGTACTGCCGTAGCAGTGGGCTCTGAGCACGACTGTAGGTCTCTCCACACCGGTCCAGCCTCAAACCAGGAGGCAGACTTCATCTAAGGGGAGCAGGGTCCTCACCTGGAGCCTGGAGGGTTTGGGGAGAGGAGAGGGATGCGGCAGAAACTGCATCTCCTCCCTCTTGTCCCTGAATATCCTGGATTTGGGTCCAGATGAATTCATGGCTCTGCTCCCATTAGACCTCATCACTTCTAACCCGCATGCAAGCAATACAAACACACACACACACACACGCGCGCGCGCGCGCGCGCGCACACACACACACACGCACACACACACATACACACACACATATACACACACGCACATACACACACATATACACACACACATACACACACACGTACACACACGTACACACACACACGCACATACACACACATATACACACACACATACACACACACGTACACACACGTACACACACACACATACACACATACACACATACACACACGCATACACACACATACACACACACACAGACACACACATACACACACGCACATACACACACACACACACATACACACATACACACACGCACACACACATATACACACATACACACACACGCACATACACACACATACACACACATACACATATGCACACACATACACACGCGCGCACACACACGTACACACACGTACACACACGCACACATACACACACGCGCGCACACACACACATACACACACACGCACACATACACACACACACACACGCACACACACCAGCCTCCCTGCCTCCTCACTGAGCCCTGGCCACTCAGGCTGCACTCAGCAGCCACATCAGACTGGCTCATTTCATTTTGCTTTTCATCATTTTTATTCTTCAGTGCAGGTATGGAGACCTGAGTTTAATTTCAATCCTCAGTAAAGCTCCTATGGATGTACTTAGTTTTGTCTTATTTCCCTGTTTTTCCCAAGCCCTTCCCACTCCCCTCTTGTACCCCACAAGCATTGACCCAATAGATTTGATGTACAGCCTTGAATGTGTCTAAAAAGTAAAATGCGTAGTGGAATTATCTGGGTCTGTATGTGTTGTTCATAGACACGAATGTTGTAATACAGAAATTCTCAAAGTGTGGTTCAGGTTGACATACTTTTCGTGACAATACTAACATGCTCTTGATCTTTCTCATCTTGCTCTCTCCTGAATGTACACTGGAGTTATCCAGAGCTTATAGGATGTGTTATATCACAACAGAGTGAATCCAGAAGCAGATATGAGAATCCAGCTGTCTTTTATCCAGGTGGATGTTCAAAAGATTTGCAAAAATGTTAAACAACGTCACTCCTTACTATATTTTTTACTTTGGAAAATAAAACTGTTTTTCATGAAATATTTATACACACGGACATTTGGTTTTTAATGACTCCACACATTGTTTTAAATTTTAAGTTTCTGTATGATAAATGCAGGTAGATATAACACATATAGACAAAAACTCTTTGGAATCTTCAAAGCTTTTTAAGAGAACCTAAGATGAAAGTTTGAGAATCGCTAGAATAGTGTGATCAATTTCCTTCTGTCTTTGCTCTTTTGGTCTTGGCATATGACTCACGGCTCCTCCTTGTTCTGTAAATACATCTTACCCATTACTCTGAAGAAAACATTCATTTGCATAGTACCCAGGCCCTCAGAATGCACAGCTGGGTAACTGGCAACTTCTGGCCTCCATAACCAATACCTCTGTAAACATTCTCCTTCAGGGTCCTGTTTGAAGCAGCTTCTGGGATACAAACCCAGGAATAGAATCCTGAGCCAAAAAACATGTGCCTATTTAACTAAAATAAAGAATATCTTCCAGACTAGCTATACCTGTTAACTACACTCAGCAGTATACAGAGTCTGTATCTCCCTACAACCTGTCCACACCTGGCATTCATTACCCACACCTCTAATCTGCCATTCTGATGGGCATGACTGATGACTCCTTGTGTTGATTTTCATCTCACCCATTATCGGTGAGCTGGAGCATCTCTTCACATCTGCTTCAATCATTCGAGAATTCTTTTCTGAGGATTGCTTGTTCATAGCCCTCGCCCATTTATCTGTTGGGTTTTCTGTCTTTATCTTGTTGATTTGGAATTATTTGAATAGTCTCAATCAACGCCACTCAAAATGGGGACCCACTGCCTACCTAAGAAACATTGGTAAAATCAAAGCACTCTTCTTCCATCAAAAAATTCTTGCTATGCAGTATTTACTATAGTCAAGGTATGGAAACAGCCTAAATGTCCATTGACAGATGAATGGATAAAGAAAGTGTGGTACAAATGTACAACAGAATATTACTCAGCCATAAAAAGACTGAAATAATGCCATTTGCAGCAACGTGGATGGACCTAGAGATTATCACACTCAGTGAAGTAAATCAGACAGAGAAAGACAAATGCCATATGTTATCACTTATGTGTGGACTCTAGGATATGACACAGGTGAACCCATCTACAAAGCAGAACAGAAACACACTCAAGATACAGAGAACAGAGTTGCGGTTGCCGAGGGGGCAGGGGGTGAGGGAGGGAAGGATTGGGAATTTGGGATTAGCAAATGCAAACTGTAATATTACATATAAGATGGATAAACAAGGTCCTATTGTATAGCACAGGGAACTGTGTTCAATATCCCATGATAAACCATAATGGAAAAGAATATGAAAAATAATATATGCATACATGTATGTTTGTATGCATAACTGAGTCACTTTGCTATGAGGCGGAAATTAACACATCGTAAATCAACTATAATTCAATAAAAAATTTTTTTAAGAAATTCTTGCTATAAAACACAAACATCTCAGCTAATCTAAGCAGTATGCTTAGGGACCATAATTGATTGATATTCTGATGCAAGTTCATCACTTACAGACCTGCACACACTTTGAATACAGCAAGTCTAGATATGAATTCTGTGTTGATTTTCCTAACCTACCATGTACCTTTGATATTCTTTGTGAATATAAATCTTAAATTTTGATATTGTCATCTTTTCTCTTTTGGCCTTGTGGCTTGTGCTTTTTAGGTCTTGTTTTTAAAAGTCCTTATCATTTGAACACAAATTAAATATGACATAAAATTATTAAGAAATAATTATGAATTTTATTCAGTGTGACCCTGGTACTGTGGTTATAATTTTTTAAGTCTATATGTTAGAGATGAATATTTAAGTACTTATAGGGGTTTAAGGGCTTCCCTGAAGGCTCAGATAGTAAAGAATATGCCTGAAATGCAGAAGAGCCAGCTTCAATCTCTGTGTCAGAAAGATTCCCAGGAGAAGGGAATAGCAACCCACTCCAGTATTCTTGCCAAGAGAGTTCCATGGACAGAAGATCCTGGCAGTGTACAGTCCGTGGGGATGCTAAGAGTTGGACACAACTAAGCGACAAGCATTTTCACTTTCTTTATGGGTGAAATAATATGATGTCTTGGGTTTGCTTTAAAATACAACAGCTCCCAGCCACGCTGAACCAGTTCAGGGCTTTTTGCCATGCCACGTCCCCTTATCTTCCTCTGCTGGGTCAGCTATGGCGGCCGTGAAGACTCTGAACCCCAAGGTCGAGGTGGCCTGAGCCCAGGCGCCGTTGGCAGTCAACATCAGCGCGGCCTGGGGCTACAGGACGGACTGAGGACCAACTTGGGGCCTAACACACAATGAAGATGCTTGTTTCTGGAGCTGGAGACATCAAACTCACTAAAGATGGAAATGTGCTGCTTCATGAAATGCAAATTCAACACCCAACAGCCTCCTTAATAGCCAAAGTAGCAACAGCCCAGGATGACATAAGTGGTGACAGTACCAATTCCAATGTCCTCATCATGGGAGAGCTGCTGAAGCAGGTGGATCTCTACATTTCTGAAGGTCTTCATTCCAGAATAATTACAGAAGGATTTGAAGCTGCAAAGGAAAAGGCACTTCAGTTTTTGGAACAAGTCAAAGCAAGCAAAGAGATGGACATGGAAACACTTATAGAAGTGGCCAGAACATCTCTACGTACTAAAGTTCATGCTGAACTTGCTGATGTCTTAACAGAGGCCGTAGTGGACTCCATTTTGGCCATTAAAAAACAAGATGAACATATTGACCTCTTCATGGTTGAGATCATGGAGATGAAACATAAATCTGAAACAGATACAAGCTTAACCAGAGGTCTTGTTTTTGACCATGGGGCACGGCATCCTGATATGAAGAAGAGAGAAGATGCATACATCCTCACAAGCAACGTGTCATTAGAATATGTAAAAACAAGTGAATTCTGGCTTTTTTTTTAACAAGAGTGCAGAGGAGAGAGAGAAATTAGTGAAAGCTGAAAGGAAATTCATCGAAGACAGAGTTAAAAAAAATAATCGACCTGAAAAAGAAAGTCTGTGGTGATTCAGGTAAAGGATTTGTTGTTACTAATCAAAAGGAAATTGATCAGTTTTCCTTAGATGCTGGTGCCAAAGAAGGCATAACAGCTCTGCGCAGAGCTAAAAGGAGAAACATGGAAAGGTTGACTCTTGCTTGCAGTGGGATAGCCCTAAATTCTCTTGATGACCTAAATCCTGATTGTTTGGGACATGCAGGACTTGTCTATGAATATACATTGGGAGAAGAGAAATTCACCTTTATTGAATCCTCGCTCTGTCACATTATTGATCAAAGGACACACATACTCAAATCAAAGATGCAATAAGAGATGGCTTCAGGGCTGTTAAAAATGATATTGATGATGGCTGTGTAGCCCCAGGTGCTGGCGCAGTGGAAGTGGCAACGGCAGAAGCCCTGGTTAAATACAAGCCCAGTGGAAAGGGGAGGGCCCAGCTTGGAGTTCAAGCATTTGCTGATGCATTGCTCATTATTCCCAAGGTTCTTGCTCAGAACTCTGGTTTTGACCTTCAGGAAACACTAGTTAAAGTTCAAGCAGAACATTCAGAATCCAGTCAGCTTATGGGTGTGGACTTGAACACTGGTGAACCAATGGTAGCATCAGAAGCAAGCATTTGGGATAACTATTGTGTAAAGAAACAGCTTCTTCACTCCTGCACTGTGATTTCCACCAACATTCTCCTGGTTGATGAGATCATGAGAGCTGGAATGTCTTCTCTAAAAGGTTGAATTGAAGCTTCCCTTGTATCTGAATCCTGAAGACTACAGAGTGATCCTAATAATACAGCTAGGGAATTTTGGTCCAAGCTTCAAATGATCTTCAAAGGATTTTCTTTGCCCATATTAAAAAAGGAGAGAACACTGGCACCTATTCAGATTCTGAAGTTCTGAAATTATAATTACGGTATTTTTTAAATTGCACTGCAGTGTCCACATACAGCAGGTCATACTTATCCAGTAAATAGGACATTTTGCTTTACCCTCAGTGATATAAAAATATTAGATAAGCATATGTTATCTACCTTGTTATTAAATATTCCTTGAAAAACAAAAAAATAAAATACAACAATAAAACAAAGTGGATGAAACAAGATTGTTCAGAGGCCTTAGAACAGCAGCCCTTTACCAACGTAGATGAAAGTAATTTACTAACCAGGACATACTGTTTGAATATAAGCCTGGAGTACGTGAATATTAACTACATTTTCCTCTGCTTCTTTTCATGAGAAGCAGAAATACAACTGGGAAAATGTTTTTGACTACTGAATATAATGTCTTGAGTACAGGGGGGTTCACTATACTGTTCTCATCATCTTTTGTGTATGTATAAATTTTTTTAAAAAAATACAGTAGAGTCTTCCCATGCTAGCTGATGCACAAAAATATTTTTGTACACTTTCATTAGTTAATCTTATAAATTTACCATCCATATTTAGATCTTATTTAGATCTTACCATCCATATTCCAGATCTTGGATCTGGAATCCACCTTTGTATGTGGTTTGGAATAGTGATACAACTTGATCTTTCTCCATAGAGAGATCTGGTTGTCCCAATACAATCTGCCAAAGCCTATTCTTTCCCCATCACCCTGCATTGCCATCTTTAACACTCTGTCTGGTCCCTATATATTCATGGGACTCTTCCTGGGCTCTATACTCTGATCTATTGTCTTTGTGTATGTGTTCCTGCTTCAGCACCCCCTTTTACTACTATAACCTGTAGTAGGTTTATTACCTGACAGAGCAAATACCCCATTGTATGAACTAGGACATTGGTCTGGCTGTATTAACGGAGATCAAATGGCGAGAGGGTTAGCAAGTCAATTCTCTTTTGTGTGAATGTCCAAGCTGGCAGGCCGCTCTGCTGTACATCACCCAAATTCCCAGGCCCCATCAATTCTGTTGCTCCTCTCTTCCCTTGGATGGGATCCTCATCTGCCAGAGGCAGGTAGACTCACTCTTCTAACAGTGATATCCTGTTAAGGACACAGCCCCGAAGCTGCTCACACCTCTGTTCACGTCAAGGGATGCTGGGAAATGTATCTCTGGGCAACTGTGTGCTGGACCAAAATTCTAGAGTTCTCTACTAAAAGAAAAAGGCGTATCAAAAACATGGAAGGTCAAGAAAGCAGTGTCTGCCTCACACTCAATTTTGCTCTTTATGGGACTTCCCCAGTGGTACAGTGGTTAAGATTTTACCTTCCAATGCAGGGAGTGTGGGTTCAAGACCCAGTCCATGTGCCTTGTGGCCAAAAAAATCAAAACATAAAACGTAAGCAATATTGTAACAAATTCAATAAAACCTTTTTAAAAAGTGGTCTAAATCAACAAAGGACAGAGAAGCCCGATGTGCTGCAGTCCATGGGGTCACAAAGAGTTGGACTCAACTGAGCTAATGAACAGCAAAATTTAAAAAAAGGTTTTTTTTGCTATTCTTTCCCAAAACAGACTTATCATCCATGAACCTTTATTATCCTAAATAAACTTTGGAATGAATGTGTCGATTTCTTTGAGAAACCTAATCTCTTTTTATTCAGGTTAATTCTTAATTTATAGATTGCTTTGGATGCTATTAACATTTATGAATATAGAACATTTCTTCATTTTTCAAATTTTTAAAAAAATTTCCTTTGGTAGAGAGGCTATTCTTAAGACAAGAAAATCTTGTTCATTTTTTGTTCATTTTTGTTAAGACCAGATAATTCATGTTCCTATGATATTGTGAATAGCATCTTATTTTGATTCTCTGTCTGGCTAGCACTGCAGTTACTTAGTAAGGAACATCAAGCTGTAGTCTGCAGGTAAAATTCAGATTATGGTTTGTTTTTGTGTGACCCATGAGCTAAAAACTGCTTCATGCATTTAAAGAGTTGTTGAAGGAAAGAAAGTGAAAAGAAAAGAAGTAGAGAGAAAAGGAAGGGAAAATACCAACTACTATAAAGAAATTCTACTGATTTTTCTAAGCTGATCTTTCATCTTGAAAGCTGATGGTTTTCTTACCAATTCTAGTACTTTCTTGTTGATTTCCTTGGGGTTTCCATGCAGTTGGCCAATGCTTCCACAAATGACAGTCTTATCTGTTCCATCTAAATCCTTACACCTCTTATCTTTTTCCTTGTCTTAGAGCTTCAGCCTGTAATACCATGTTTAAAAAAAAATTGTACTGATAGTATGAGTAGAGTTTCTTTGCTCTAAATCTTAATGAAAATGAGTCTCAATTTCTCCATTAATTATGATTTTGCTGTAGGATTTTGGCATACAGCTTTTTATCAAGTTAAACAAATTCCCTTCTATTCTTGGTTTACTAAGAAGTTTTTAATCAGAAGTAGATGTTGGCATTTCTTGAGTGCTATTGAAATAATGAAATGATTTTGTTCTTTCATTTGGGAAAGAATTGCATTGATAAATTTTTCTGATGCTCAGTTATCCTTGCATTCTTATATAAACCCTATGTCCACTATCCTCTTAAGTGAAATAAACCTATAATTTCCTGTACTGTTCTCATCATGTTTCAGAATCCAGGTCATTCTAACCAGCCTTATTAAATGGACTGGTGTCTTCCTTGCTTTGTCTAATTCTGGAGCAAATGTTGTAAAAGAACACTTACCTATTTCCTTAAAGCTTGGCAAAACTCACCTATTAGACTATATGACCCTAGAGTTTTTTATAAAAAGATCATGATTATCATTTCAATTTTTAAAACAACTATTGATCTATTCAAGTATTTCTCCTTGAGTTTATTCATTGCCTTGTGCTTTCTAGAAATTTATTCATTCTGCTCAGGTTTATTAATTTGCTGGGCTTCCCAGGTGGCGCTAGTGGTAAAGAACCCACCTGTCAATGCAGGAGACATAAGAGACGTGGGTTTGATCCCTGGGTTGAGAAGATGCCCTGGAGGAGGGCACGGCAACCCGCTCCATATTCCTGCCTCGAGAATCCCGTGGACAAGGAGTCTGGCAGGCTCTAGTCCCTAGGGTTGCAAAGAGTCAAACACGACTGAAGCAACGGACCACACGCTCATCAATGTATTATCCTGTGCTGATTCTTATTCTTTTTACATCCACAGAATATTACTTTTGAGCTTTTTCTTTTTTTATACATCATATTTGCATATTTATTCTATTTTCTTTGATTAGTCATATTAATTTATTCAAAGAAGCAACTGTTGGCACTCAGTAGTCCATCCTTTTTAGCTCTGTTTCTCTGATTTTTTTAAGTCTTTTATTGAATTTGTTACAATATTGGTTCTGTTTTATATGTTTTGGTTTTTTGAGGCATGTGCGATCTTAGCTCCCTGACCTGGGGTCGAACCCACACCCCCTGCATTGGAAGGCAAAGTCTTATTTTAACTATTGGACCACCAGGGAAGTCCCCTATTTCTTTAGTCCCCTATTTTTAGTGTCATTATTTCATCCCTCTTTTCTTATGTTCTGCTGTAACTTATTGAGTTGAATCCTTAGCTCATTTGTTTCATTATTTCTTGTTTCTGATAAATGTATTTAATTCTATATATTTTCCTATGAGTACTTTTTTTTTTTTTAGCTATGTCTTAAAATTTGGGTATAGAGCACCTTTAAGGTCATTCAGGTCTAAGCATTTTATGATTTCCCCAGGTGATCTCCTCTCTGATCCAGGTGTATTTGACTGGGATACTGCCTAATCCCCAGACACCTGGAATGTTTGCGTTGACCCTGCGATCCTTGATTCACTTTTTTGTATGGTAGTCAGAGAACACAGTGGGTGTCAAGCTGGCTAAGTCCGTGGAGGCTTTCTACGAGGCTAGCACCAGGGTGAATTCTGTGACAGCCCCATGTGTGTCTGGATAAACTTCACCTTCTCTGCTTGTGCAACATTTATATGCTCATGGAAATTTGAGTCTATGAATGGTGTCTATCAATGTTT